CAAAAAAAGAAGAATAAGAATCTAGTCGTGCAAGCCTCCAAACTATGACAAAATCATTTAGGCAATTTAAACATAGACATGTAATAAATACCTAATTTACCTAACACCGAATTTAGCAACATTAAACGACTCCTTACTAACAACAACTTTACCTTCCAGGGAGAAAACCTTTTTTGAAATCTATCCATAATCTTTCTATGTGTCATATTATCACCCACCAGAAGACCTATATACATAAAATGAAAGGAAGATGCATTACATCCCGTAAAAAGAAGCCACAGCCTGTATAGAAACCGGATCAACACCAACACCTAAAAAGATTTGATGTTAGAATATTAACCCTCAAACCATACTCCATATAAAAACATATAAGGATCTCAATCAAATTATGAATATTACACTCATCCCACTCACCCAACAAGGCATTATTAACATAAAATATGAGCTTAATGATAACATGAATTTTTGCATTTATTTTAGCATGCATTTTGTTTTAGTTTTAGCATTTTTAATATTGTTTTTGCATTAGATCGTTAGATTTAGTTTTTTGAATTTTTTTACTCGTTTAAGCTAACTTGATGCAAATTTATACGAGTGAGATGATATTTTGGAGCACCAATAGAAGCCATATCGAATTCCTTGCAACCGTGATTGAAGTCTCGTATCAAAATCCATGATTGATAAGAAAAACAAAACGATATAAATGATTTTTGGATATTTGGTAGCATTTTGCGGTCGTCTTCAAGTGACCATATGAAGGGGAAAATGTTGTCCGAATGAGCTGGAACTTTACGGGTGTCTTTCCGATTCTTTGATCTTCGATCTGGCCGAAAATTAACGGATTTGTATAACGTTTGGTGTGGTTTTTGGCCTTGTGAACATCCGAACATAAGGCTGTCAGCTTTAGCTTTGCAACCCAATACATAGAGTCCATTTCACATGATATTCTACAGTCCAAAAGATAATATGTACCAGCCCATTTCCGCAATTACAAGAAGCAAAAGAAAAAAAAATATAGCATTACTCCCGCATAAGAGAAAAATAAAACATGGAAGCAAAGAGGAAAAATTATCTATTTTTCTCTGTTTCTTTTTCTTTTTTATATATTTGGAATATTACTAATATTATCATGATTTTATTACTATGTAGTCATTTATCGTTAATTGTTGTATTAATATTTTGATTTGCGATGAAGTATTTAGAGCCCCAAGAAGACGATTTCAATTTTCTTTTATTATCTCCGTTTTGCAATTGATATTGATATAAATTTCTATCATCATCATTATTATTATTATTATTATTATTATTATTAGTAATTAGTTTTTATTTCCAGGACGAATCANATTGAAGAGAAAAAACATATTCATATTGATTGTGCGTAAAAATTTATCATATCTCCACAAATGAATATATGTAATCACAAATGAATATACTTGTTCTCGCGTTCTCAACCTTTTAGGTGTTCTCATTTGATCATTTCCATCTATATATATATATATATATATATATATAGCTAGGTGATAATATGGATGGAAAACTATTGTGTGGACGTGTGGACAATGCTATTCTATAATAATTACTAAGAAAATATGTTGTTTAGTAATGTGAATGCGTTCAAACTCACATAACTATTGTCATTTTCGTGGATTCTCACTAATTGTTATTCATTTTTGTTCTCACACGTCGTTTTTCACTCATTTTCATTCTCATAGAATATGAGTCGATAAACATTTTAACAACATTCTAACAGAAGGAGAATAATAATAAAAATCTATAATAACCTTATAAAAGTTTAATTAGTGAGAATGTGTGATAATGACAATACTTATGTAAGATTGAATGTATTCACATTAACAAACAACATATTTTCATTATCATTTTCACAAAATAACGTTGTCCACACATCCGCACACTAGATGTCAATCCACA